CTGAGACTAACACAGCTGCGAGTAGGTGACAAGCTGGTCTGGAAGCCTGGCAGTGCTCACAGCATTTGCACCTGCGTCTCTTAGCAGACTTATTCCTGACTTAACACGCATCTGTGAACTTTTTATAAACTAGTCCCATGTAGGAACATCCAAGTGACATTCTTGCTGCCAGCCCCCACTTTCCCCAAGTGAGTAAGCTCATGTCTAACTGGCACAATCAAGTAAGGTTTATTCCCGTGGCAAAGCTGGGGAAAAAGTAACATGGGCCACCAAAGTACCACTCAATGGAGGTTTATGGTTCAGCTCAGAGAATGTACTGGGCAACAATGCAGCGTCGTAACAGCTAGAAAAAATCAGAATGCACAAAAGACAAAAGGTAACAGACGTAGTAGGAAATTCTCAGAACCGCAGACTCCGCCCCTTCGGTGGGTGGTGAAGGGGAACAAGCGCTCCGGGCTGCCCTGGCTTAGCGCTTGTTTGCTAGATCCTAGGCTGAACTTCAAAAAAAATATCTAGGCAATGTTTGGAAATACTAAGCTAAAACGTTAGGTATTAAAATGTACTCACGGTTTTGTAGTTGAGGTATATTTTAAAAGATCCATTAATAAGTGAATTTAAGGTCAAATCACATAACTATTTTTTAAGGAAACTAATGAAATCATGGAACATATTTCTGAGAAGGTTCGGCCTGTGCTCTACTTTTGGCGATGAGCCACTACCCCCCACAAATGGAAGGCATTTTATGGTATCCTAAGAGAGACTGTTTTCCCTGTGAGCACTGCCCATAAAGTGACTTTTCGCATGATCTACAGTTGATTAAATCTTAAGAATTACAGTGTCAGAAACCTCAGAATCTAAATGTGCAGAATTATAATAGTGAAGGTAGGCACATAACCAGCCTGGCTGCTAAATGAAAATAAAAATAGGAAAATGTTCTCCGCTGGGAATTCATTAAAAATGCTATGCCTTTTAAACATTTCCACATTAGTTTGGTTTCACAAAGTGATTCAGAAATGAGTTAAACACTTAATGAGCACAGAACTGGAGGAAAAGACCTTCCAGAAACTTAGTTATCATTCTTCGCCTTCCTTGTACTCTAG